TGCATGAGGCCCTGGGTTCGATTCCTCAGCACCACATAAGCAAAAAGAAAAAAAAAGCCGGAAGTGGCGCTGTGGCTTAAATGGTAGAGCGCTAGCCTTGAGCTGAAGAGCTGAGGGACAGCACCCAGACCCAGAGTTCAGGCCCCACGACTGGACCAAAAAAAAAAAATAATAAAGATAGAAGAACTTTTTAAAATGTGGTTTAAAAAAAAATCTTTAAAGCCAAGCACCAGTGGCTCGTGCCTGTCATCCTAGCTACTCAGGAGGCTGAAATCTGAAGATCTTGGTTTCAAGCCAGCCTGGCAGAGAAGTCTGAGAGATTCTTCTCTCCAAAAAGCTGGAAGTGGAGCTGTGGTTTAAAACAAGCTCAGGACTGGGCACCAGTGGCTCACACCTGTAATCCTAACTACTTGGGAGGATGAGATCTGAGGATCGTGGTTCAAAGTCAGCCCAGGCAGGAATGTCTGTGAGACTCTTATCTCCAATAAGCCACCAGAAAACCAGAAGTGGAGCTGTGGCTCAAAGTGGTACAGTACTAGCCTTGAACAAAAAAGCCCAGGGACAGTGCCCAGGCTCTGACTTCAAACCCCACAACTGGCATACACTCAAAAAAAAAAAAGTCTTTTAAAGCTGGGTATTTGTGCCTCATGTCCATAATTCCAGCTACTCAGGATGCTGAGATCTGAGGATCACAGTTTGAAGCCAGCCTGGACAAGAATGTCTGTAAGACTCTCATCTCTAATTAAGCAGCAAAAAACTGGAAGTGGAGCTGTGGCTCAAGTGGTAGAGCGCAAAGCAGCTCAGGAACAGCACCCAGGCTCCAAGTTCAAGCCCCAGGACTGGGACCAAAGAAAATTTTTTTAAGTCTTAAAAAAGTGTGCACAATTTTTTTTTTTTTTTTTTGTCGGTCATGGGGCTTGAATTCTGGGCTTGGGCGCTGTCCCTGCACTCTTCAGCTCAAAGTGAGTGCTCTACCACTTAAGCCACAGCACCACTTCTGGTATTCTAGTGGTTTTTATGGGAGATAAGAGTCCCATGGACTTTCCTGCCTGGGCTGGCTTTGAACCTCGATCCTCCTGAGTAGTTAGGATTACAGGCGTGAGCCACAGGCGCCCGGCTATGTGCATGATTTTTATGGCTATCGTAAGTGGGGTGGAAAGAACATTTTAAAAATTTGTAACTGTTGTTTTGGGAAATGCCTTTCCTTAAGGGCACCTAAAAGTGTTTGTGACTAGACTTTTCATCTGTTGTTTCCTAAGTGGGGGAAATGCGTTGTATCCAATAGAAGGAACCTTACTCCTTTCTTTAGTTGTTTGCTAAGTTCCAAAGTGAATGTCTACTTATTCCATAACCATATAAGTCTGAGTTTCCCATATAGAAAAGTTAATCTGGGTGCCAGTGGCTCACACCTGTAATCCTAGCTACTCAGGAGGCTGAGATCTGAAGATCAGGGTTCAAAGCCAGCCTGGGCAGAAAAGTCCGTGAGACTCTTATCTCCAATAAACTACTCATCCTTAGGCTCCTGATATGAATTGCTCTTGTGCTGTCATTCAACCACAGCTGGCTGGTGGTGGTACTGGGGTTTTATAGGACAGGGCAGGCTCAAAGAGAGTTGGTTGTTGATGACATTCATTTCTGTCGTGTAAATATTTATATGCCATGTGAACTTTTTTTTTTTGGGGGGGGGTCCAGTCGTGGGGCCTGAACTCTGGGCCTGGGCGCTGTCCCTCAGCTCTTCAGCTCAAGGCTAGCGCTCTACCACTTGAGCCACAGTGCCACTTCTGCCTTTTTTCTTTTTGCTTATGTGGTGCTGAGGAATCGAACCCAGGGCCTCAGGCATGCAAGGCAAGCGCTCTACCACTGAGCCACCTTCCCAGCCCTATTGTCTTATTTTTACATTTGACTTAATTATTTTTTTTTTCCTGTTGGTTAGCTGCCTTTGGAAGGCTCCCAAGAGGGAAATGCCTGGGACACACTTAGGACAACATGAGGGCCTACTGGAGAGAAAAAGGAAAAAACAGGAGGATTCTATCACTAGTGTTTGCTGGCTTTTTCTTTCGTTATTTACTGCCTTTCAGGAGAAAATCACTTTAGAGTCCTAAGAAAGGACCAAGAGTAGAAGGAAGGAAACTATAACTTAATACAGGCTATTTTTTAATTAATGTTGGAACTGTAATTTTGTGAAATGAAATAATGAAGGAATATGATGTTTGTCCAGTTTTTTAAGATCACTCACAAATGAACAAAATGTGAATTTAAACAAACAGCTAAATTCTTAAGTAGAATTTCCTGAGGAGCATGGAGCAGTTTTGAAAGGAAGTTAGTAGCATGTTATGGGTTCCCTGATTTTACTTAAGGAAAACATCGTTGGTGCCTTTTGTTTCTGTTTGGACACTTGCTGAAAGTAGAGACAATGCATGGCTGTATGTATTCCTGCTGTAATTGCCCAAGCTTCTAAGGGAGACATGTCAAAATGGAATGAACTGACTACTGAAATGAACTGGCTTTCTTGTCCTCAGAAGTCTTTCCTGGTGTGACTGTGTGCTGGGCTGCTCAGTCCTTGGCCCATCCTGCTGATCTTCGTGCAAGCACTGTGATGAAGACTTTTTATCTGAGGCATTGGGTCTCTTCTTGTTTTTTTTTTTTTTTTTTTTGGGGGGGGGTCTGGTCGTGGGGCCTGAACTCTGGGCCTGGGCGCTGTCCCTCAGCTCTTCAGCTCAAGGCTAGCACTCTACCACTTGAGCCACAGCGCCACTTCCAGCTTTTTCTGCTTTTGTGGTGCTGAGGAATCGAACCCAGGGCCTCATGCATGCAAGGCAAGCGCTCTACCACTGAGCCACCTTCCCAGCCCGCTTTGGGTCTCTTCTGCATCGCTCCAGGAGATCCAGAGACCCTGCCCCCACCCTGTGGGCTCACTGCTCTAGGCCTCTATCCTGCACGTGCTGATCTAGACCTAGTCCGAATATAGCATTTGCTCAAACCAAAGCAACTGCTCTTCAGCGATCTTATGGCCTCCATTTCTTTTTTATTGGTTAGTCATGGGGCTTGAACTCTGGGCTTGGGCACTGTCCTTGTGCTCTTCAGCTTAAGGCAAGCACTCTACCACTTGAGTCACAGTGCCACTTGCGGTTTTCGAGTGGTTTATGGGCGATAAGAGTCTCTTGGACTTTCCTGCCCTGGCTGGCTTTGAACCTCGATCCTCAGATCTCAGCCTCCTGAGTAGCTAGGATTACAGGCGTGAGTCACTGGCACCCGGCTTATGGCCTTCATTTCTAAATTAAACATAGGCAACATTTCATAATTCTTTATCTGAACAGGATTTGAAGGTTGTGGTTTCTTGAATCTAAAGCAATCTGAAAATGTTTCTAACTTGACTAAAAATTATCAAAATTGTTCTAGAAGCTCTATTTTTCTTAGTTTCTTGGCAGTTCCCAGGGATCAAAAGCTCCAAGTCCTTCTAACTAGAGAAACTGCTAATGACTGCATATTTACACAATATATTTTAGATAATAGAACAAATATATTTCAGTAGGTCCTGCCAAAACCTGGAATTATGCTTGGCTGGTATTAGATGGATATGACCTTTCTCTCAATTCAACATTTCCTAACATTATAATTAGCATTCACTCGTATAATACATAATATTTGCTCACTTTGGACTAAATGAGGTTGAGCTGAACTGCAAGGCATCACTCCTTATTTTCCCTTTTTCTAGGTTGTAGCACAGTTGGCTCTTTCTGGATTTCCTCACCATGGTTTCCATTGCCCTGTGCCTTGGAATTTAGTAAGATCTTTTTTTTTTTGGGTCCAGTCGTGGGGCCTGAACTCTGGGCCTGGACACTGTCCCTCAGCTCTTCAGCTCAAGGCTAGTGCTCTACCACTTGAGCCACAGCGCCACCTCGGCTTTTTTCTTCTTGCTTATGTGGTGCTGAGGAATCGAACCCAGGGCCTCATGCATGCAAGGCAAGTGCTCTACCACTGAGCCACCTTCCCAGCCCCTTAGTAAGATCTTTACTGTCAAATCAGGTCTGTAAAAGTAGGAAATGGTGCCTGCATAATTCATGGTATCAATATCCTTTTGAGGATAAAAGGACAAAGGGGAATGCTCTTTATCATCTCCATCCCTCAGACACACTCACCTTAGTTTTTAGGATCATGTTTTCTGATACAGAGGCTGTTCTGTTGCATGCGTGCGTGCGTGTGTGTGTGTGTGTGTGTGTCTTGGTCGTGGGGGCTTGCACTCTGGGCCTGGGTACAGTCCCTCAGCTCTTCAGCTCATTGACTCAGGGATGGGATGCATTTGTAAAAGGGCTTCTTGGAGCAAGGTGAGCACTGCTGCCTGTGGACCATGTGGCTAATGAGGTCTAGTCCATTTTCTTCTGTGGCTGTGGGGTAGAGAAACAGTGAATGAATTTATCTCTTAGAAGCACCTTCTGCTTCTGCTCTCTGGGAAACTGGTAGGAGACTCATGTGCCTTTGGCACAATTGCTACTGTTTTTTGTTTTGTTTTGTTTTTCCAGCTATAGTAGAAAAAAATCCTCTCAATCTGGCTTTAGGTTCAACTTTGAAAACGCAGTTTTCAAATACTTCAGATGAAAAAGTATAAGAATATATATGCATAGATGCCCACAAAGCCCACTAAGGACTTGGTGAATTGGGCTCAGCAAAATGGTCTTTGGGTTACAGAAAATCCACGTGGCGCGCTGACTCCTCTAGACCATGTTGTCATTGACTTTGAGGTTCACACTTTAGGGCCTTTTTTTTTTGGTCTGGTCGTGGGGCCTGAACTCTGGGCCTGGGCGCTGTCCCTCAGCTCTTCAGCTCAAGGCTAGCTAGTGCTCTACCACTCGAGCCACAGCAACACTTCCAGCTTTTTTTCTTTTTGCTTATGTGGTTCTGAGGAATCGAACCCAGGGCCTCATGCAAGGCAAGCGCTCTACCACTGAGCCATCTTCCCGCCCCTTTAGGGCCTTTTTGAGATGTTTCAAGGACACCATAGTTTCTCCCATAGTGACAGGTAGTTATTGATGTGAGTTATATATGACAATAAAAAAAATTAATCAAGGGGCTGGGAAGGTGGCTCAGTGGTAGAGTGCTTGCCTTGCATGCCTGAGGCCCTGGTTCGATTCCCCAGCACCACATAAGCAAAAAGAAAAAAAAAAGCCAGAAGTGGCACTGTGGGCTCAAGTGGTAGAGCGCTAGTCTTGAGCTGAAAGCTGAGGGACATCACCCAGGCCCAGAGTTCAGGCCCCATGACCGGACCCAAAAATAAAAAAAAATTAATCAACCAACTGCCAGCTTAGGCATTTAGAGTAATCCCAGAAATTTTGTAGCCTATATTAAGAGAAAGGAATTTGGGCACAATGCAGCTACTGGACTACAGCTGAATGTTTGAGAGATATGCAGTGATTAGTAATCTTATTGTCTGTAAGTATTTTGTAAAAAATCTATTCTTGCTTGAAAAACATACATACATATATATAATTTGTGTCAGTTGTGGCCCTTGAACTCAGGGCCTGGGCACTGTCCCAAAGCCCTTTCATTCCCAAAGCTCTTTCATTCAAGGTGAGTGCTGTACCACTTTGAGCCATAGCTCCACTTCCATTTTCTGATGGTTTCTTGGAGATAGGAGTCTCATGGACTTTCATGTCTGGGCTGGCTTTGAACTGTGATCCTCAGATCTCAGCCTATTGACTAGTGAGGATTACAGGCATGAGCCACCAGTGCTTGGCCTGAAAAACACAGTAAGACAAAGATGAAAAGAAATCAGTTGAGAGGATTCAGGGGGAAATGATTTAGTAGAGTGTAATAATTCTGATGGATAATTCTAGGGATAACCCTGTATTGATAATTTTCCAGGAAGTAAAATAGCTCATTTAGATGGAAGAGAGGGATATAACTGTGGTAAACTAATTAGAGTGTTTTTAATCTGCGACTAATTTGGAGTAAATTTCGTTAGGAAGATACATTGGGAGGATAAGTAGACTTGTCAGAGTAAGTTATGTCTTTCAAAGATGAGCAACCCTTGCCCTCGATATAAGCCTTTTCACTACGGATCAGATCTCACCTCTGAAACTGTGCCTGCCTCTTTGAAACCTTGTGTTGCTGGGTGGCAGCTTGTATAGCTGACTCCATCTCAATCAGACACCTCCCGCCTGATGGAAATCCCAAATCCAGTGGTCGCAACAGCTGTGGCACGTGCAAGGAAGAGGTAGGACAGCACATCCTCCTTGGGGAAAGTTCTGCACCGTTTTCAGTTAGTAATGTCACCAGCCAACCTAGAGTATAACAATGCAGGAATGTCAGAACAAAGCCAGGCAGGCAGTTCTATGGGCATGGTCTCTTTATTTTTATTGTTGAGGTGCTGAGGATTGAACCCAGGGCCTCCTGCATGCCAGGCAAGCACTCCACCACTGAGCCATAGTCCTAGTACTAGGAGTCTGATTCTTTTAGTTGAACTATCTATGCCTAAAAAATGCATCTGAAACAATACTGTAGGAAGCCCCCGTCTTGTATACTATGTGCCTTTAACATAAACTCCTTTTAATTGCTGCCTGTCTTCCTGATTCACCTGTAAGCTTGCTTACAAGTCTTCACGTGGCTGCTTTATGGAATTAAGGCCACAGTGTGGCTAGTGCCAAAGTCCATGAGATGAAAACATTGCTAACAATTACTACTGGCAGTCAAAACGAGGCATTAGCTTTAGATACAACTGAAGCGCTTCAGTGTAGCTCAAGTCGTAGAGCACTTGTCCTGAGTTCAAACCCCAGTATTGCCAAAAGAAAAAAAGAACAATCTGAATCCCATTCTAAACCAGTACAAATTGCTTTATGTCCTAAAATGTCTGACAGCATGCCCAGCTATCCCACATGCTCTCATCTCAGAACCTGGCATGCTGCGTGCCGCTGTAAGCCCCAAGCAAATCGCTCTTCTTTCCATTTGTAGGTGCTGATGTTTTTTCTCGCTCATTGTTTTAGGAAGTTCGGGGCTCAAGGGTCGCGACTCACTGGAGCAGGCTGGGGAGGCTGCACCGTGTCCATAGTACCTGCTGACAAGCTGCCGGATTTCCTAGCAAACGTGCAGGACGCTTACTACAAGAGACGCCATCACAGCGAAGCACCCGAGAAGCAGAATTTGTTTGCTACCAAACCTGGAGGCGGGGCACTGGTTTTCCTGGAGGCCTAAACAATGTAAAAAATCTCAGAGAAACTATTTAGGGCATTTAGAAACTGGCAAGACTTGCTATGCCACAGTAAATTAATCTTCTTTCTGTTTTATATTATGATGAATGGTTGCTATGATCAAGCTGTACTTCCAAAGAAATGGCTGAAAGCTTTCTACACTTTATAATCATTATTTTTCCATCTTAAAATATGTGGGTTTTTTTTTCAATCAATAAGAGCCAAGATTATGCTTGGATAGACCTTTGAAAAGGATGATTTACTGGTAAACACACTGAACTGGACTTGCAGTAAACATGCTGCTACATTCAAATTGATACACATTAAAACAGAGTCACTCTTGGTCTCCTTCCAATTTCTTCCACAGAGTTGTCCTCTGATCTTGGGGAGGAGGATCCTGAAGATGATGATGGTGATTCCATACAGCGTCTCTCACGATCTGCCTCAATATGCTATGAAAATAAAGATTCACAGATTTTCTTAGACATTGTATACCTGAATGTGAAATTTCCCCAACTATAAATTCAGTAAGGGTCACCTATTTATTTTCTTTTTGCAAAAAAGACAGATTTAAGAAGAAAATCCAAGGTTCATCTAAATCTTAAAAATATTGGCTCATGCCTGTAATCCTAGCTACTTAGGAGTCTGAGAGTTGAGGATTGAGGTTCAAATCTAGTCCAGGCAAAAAATTATACTTTTTTTTTTTTTTTGTCAGTGGTGGGGCCTGAACTCGGCCTGGGCGCTGTCCCTCAGCAATTTAGCAAGCGCTCTACCACTTGAGCCACAGCTCCACTTCCCAGGCAAGAAATTAACCATCAATGTTGGGCGCTGGTGGCTCATGCTACGCCTGTAATCCTAGCTACTCAGGAGGCTGAGATCTGGGGATGGAAGTTCAAAGGCAGCCCAGGCAGGAAAGACTGTGAGACTCCTATCTACAATAAACCACCAGAAAACCGGAAGTGGCGCTGTAACTCAAGTGGTAGAGTGCTCGCCTTGAGCTGAAGAGCTGAGGGACAGCGCTCAGGCTCAGAGTTCAAGCCCCATGACCGACAAAAAAAAAAGAAATTAACCACCAAAACAGCCAGAAGTAGCACTGTGGCTCAAGTGGTCAAGCACTAAATCTTTATTTGAGCAAAACAGCTCAGGGGCCAGTGCTCAGGCCCTGAGTTTAAGCCCAAGGACCAACCAAAAAGAAAAACTTTTCGCTGGTCAGAAGCAAGGAATGGGGTGAATGGGATTGTTACTAAGTAAGTAAAACTGAGATTATCTTAAATTTGCATATGGATGTTTACATAGCAAGAGTGAATTCTATTGCAGAGACAGGCAGGATGGTGTCTCACACCTATAATCCCAGCCACTTAAGAGATGGAGGCCCACCTGGGCAAAAAATTAACAGGATCCAGATCTCAACCAACAAGCTGAGCGTGATGTGTGTCTGTGATCCCTGCTACAAAGAAAGCATGGGGAGGAGGACTGTGGTCTGACGCCAGCTTAGGGAAACACTTGAGACCTTATCTAATGCAAGAATCAAAGCAAAAAGTTGTTGCGGGCCAGGCTCAAGTGGTCAGAGCCCCTGTATGTGGCAATCAAAAGGCCCTGAGTTCGGCAATCAAAAGGCCCTGAGTTCAAATTGAACTGCCAAATAATAATAACAAAAGCAACATGAAGGTGTTCTGGTGCTGGAACATGGTTGTGACCATTCAATACTGTCGGGTGGGGCACCGGTGGCTCATGCCTGTAATCCTAGCTACTCAGGAGGCTGAGATCTGAAGGTCGCAGTTCAAAGCCAGTCTGGGCACGAAAGTCCGTGAGGCTCTTATCTCCCTCCAATTAACCACTAGAAACTGGAAGTGGTGCTGTCGTTCAAGTGGTAGAGTGCTCGCCTTGAGCTAAAGAGCTGAGGGACAGCACTCAGGCCCAGAGTTCAAGCCCCACAACTGACAAAAAAAAAAATACTGTCGGGTGTCTATTTGCAAAGCAAGAAAGAATTCTCCATCTGCAGGAAGAAAGCATACCAGTTGATGTAGGAAATTCTCATAGTCAGCTTTAGCTTCGAAAGGTTTCTTGGTAGACATTTCTTGGAGCCTAATCATGAAATAAAGAAAAATGGTAACCAAACTGATTATCTTTTTACCATCTAATATCCAACATTTGCAAAGCATTAAATCTGCTCTGCATTTGCTAGGCAGTTTACACAGAAAGTTTCCCAAGATGGTTGAACGAACTTGGGAGACGTGTGAAACATTGCACAGAGAAACAGATGAGGGCCAGGTGCTGATGGCTCACGCCTGTAATCCTAGCAACTCAGGAGGCTGAGACCTGAGGATCACGGAAGTCAGCCAGGGAAGGAAAGTCTTTAAGACTCTTATCACCAATAACCTTCTCAGAAAAAGCCAGAAGTTGCACTGTGGCTCAATTGGTAGTGTACTAGCCTTGAGCACAAAGAGGCTCAGGGACAGCTCCCAGGCCCTGTGTTCAAGCCCCAGGACCGCGGGGGACTGGGGGGAAGGGGGAGAGATAGTTGAGGTAAAAATAGCAAAAAAAAGGTCTCTCTGGCCATATATGGTTTATAATTAAAATCTCACAGCAAATTCCAGTTGAAACAATTATTTTTCCAAGGACCTCTGGTAGGAAGTAGAACTTTCTGGACAGTAGAACCCCTTGCAGGGCATTTGGGTTTGTGACCCTGTCTCAGTGGTTAATCCAAGTACCCCACGCATTCTCCATCTCTGCCACCACCCTCATCAGAACTCAAAAACAAAGCTGAGCACTGACGGTTCAACACCTGTAATCCTGCCCATGCAGGAAAGTCTTCAAGACTTAGCTCCAATTAACTACCAAAGCAGGGGAAAATGCTGTCCGGACAGTGGTGGCTCATGTCTGTAATCCTAGCTACTCAGGAGGCTGAGATCTGAGGATCATGGTTCAAAGCCAGCCTGTTCAGGAAAGTCTGAGACTCTTATCTGCAAATAACCACCAGAAAACCGGAAGTGGCGCTGTGGCTCAAGTGGTAGAGCGCTCGCCTTGAGCTGAAGAGCTGAGGGACAGCGCCCAGGCCCAGAGTTCAAGCCCCATGACCTACAAAAAAAAAGCTGCAAGTGGAGGTATGGTTCAAGTCGTAGAGCAGAAAGGCTCAGGGACAGTGCCCAGATTCTAAGTACAAATCCCAATAATGGCACAAATACAGATGAAGGGCAAAGTAGAAAACCCTGGTTTTCTAGTTGATATATTTTGATACGTGTTGATATATGTTGTGGTTCAGCTACAAATGATCCTAAGCACTACAAAGCTGAATGAGAAACAAACCTGCCAATTTCCTGGTCGATTCTTTCCTGTCGCTCTCTCAGGGCTTTTATTTCTTCAGCAATTGTGTGCTTTCCACTATAAAAATCAAAGTTTGGGGTGAAATGTTAAAGCAGGCGATTGTAACTGAGAAAGAATAAGTCCAGGACTTGCTCTCTGCATGTCGGTAAGAGTTCTTTCCAGACCTGCCCTTCCTCTGGGACGGCGTAGTCAGTGGACGCTGCGTGCTTTCCCTTGGTGAAGTGTGCATTCTGACTTTCCTGCCCTGGCTGCTGAGCGTGGCCTGTCAGTGTGTGCCTCTGCTCGTGTGGGTGTGGGGTGTTGCGGGGGGAGAGGAAGAAGTTAGATAGAGGGGGGCTGGTTGCTCCTCCCTGTCCCCAAAGCTAAGGGTGTCTGTCCTTTCTCCCTGCTTAAGGCAACAGAAATCTTAGGCAGTCACGGTGATACCCCGGGCAGAACAGAACCCTACCAATTTTTTGTCTTGTAAACACTCCCTTCCTTGTGCAGAAATATACCACGACTGGCCATCAGCAGTCATTCTCATGAAGACAGGAAGCTTGCAGCGTTCCCCAAGAGACCGCACACACCCCAGAACTACCACAGAAGGGTCTCTGCTTGTTTTCCAGCTCAGCCTTGTACAGGGATAATGCCCTGTCTGTGTTGCAGGAGGCCTGTCTATGTTGGGGTGTACAATACCCTCACCTATCCCACAGGAAGGCTTCCTTCCTTCTGTAGCTCCTAGCACTTGCCACAGTTCCTTGGTTCCAACTCACATCTTTAATTCTTACCTGAAAAGAATCTCCTTCAAGCCAGAGATGTTCAGAAACAACGCTCCTCATCAGTAAAAGAAAGAGCTAAGCCTAGATGATTTCTAGGATTGCCTCCAGTTATTGGGGGGGGGGAAGAACATTTTATATTGAATAATGGCATGGCATGAACTTACATCCTAAAATCCTTTTTGTTCTTTGCAAATTGTATTTTTGCCTCCTTGATAACATCACGGTATGTCGGAGCAGGTAATGTGCGAGGCTGAGGGTTAAGGAAGGAGTTTCACGCAGGAACATTTGGGAGAGGGAACAGAGTCCTTCACAGGGAACAATCCACGGGGCTCATCTGGCCTGCGCCTCTGCGTAGGAGAGGTCCCTGGTGGCAACGTGAACGTCGCGTGTGCAGTTCCACGGCCGCCATCCACCTTCAGGTCTCGCTAGCCCCCATGTCCCATCCCTGGGACCACAGCCACCCCGGGCTACTGTCATTTAACACTGTGCTCAGCCCCGGAATTCTTTTTGTGTTAAAATGTATGTGTTTTTTTTGTTTTGTCGGTCGTGGGGCTTGAACTCTGGGCCTGGGCGCTGACCCTGAGCTCTTCAGCTCAAGGCAAGCGCTCTACCATCCACTTGAGCCACAATGCCACTTCTGGTTTTCTGGTGGTTTGTTAGAGATAAGAGTCTCACAGACAGGCTGGGAAGGTGGCTCAGTGGTAGAGTGCTTGCCTTGCATTGCCAGAGGCCCTGGGTTCGATTCTTCAGCACCACATAAGAAAAAAGAAAAACACTGGAAGTGGCACTGTGGCTCAAGTGGTAGAGCGCTAGCCTTGAGCTGAAGAGCTGAGGGAGAGCGCCCAGGCCCAGAGTTCAGGCCCCACGACTGACAATATATATATGTATATATATACATATACATATATATATATATATATATACATTTTTTAGAGACCTCAACAACGTCCTTATCTCCATTGAAGTAACTGAGAAATATAAGTAACATCATGATAAGCTTGAGTTAAATTCATCCCTCTCCCTCTCCCTCCTTCTCTATCCCTCCCCTCTCCCTCTCCCTCCCCCCCTCCCTCTCTCTTCCCCCTCTCCCTCTCCCTCTCTCTCTCTGTCTCTTCTCTCTCTCATTGGTTGTGGGGCTTGATCTCAGGGCCTAAGAGCTGTCCCTGAGCTATTCTGCTCATGACTAGCATTCTACCACTTTAAGCCACAGCGACACTTCCGGTTTTTGAGTGGCTACTTGGAGATCAATCTCCTGGGGACTTTTCTGCCCATACTGGCTTCAAGCCACCATCCTCAGATCTCAGCCTCCTGAGTAGCTAGGATGACAGGCATGAGCCCACTGGTGCCCTGCTTCATGACTCCTCTTGTACACATAAACTGACATGTTTGCTTGAAACCCCT